TTCCTCTACTTTTCTTAATTTTTTAGGATTAATTAGTTATTCTTATATGCATGCTTCCTATATTTAACTTTTCCAATTTTCACATATAGTAAAGTTGTTACATAAAGGTACAAAATGATACAAAAATTAAAAGTTTTGATCGTTTACTAAGAGAGAAATAACACTTTTTACGGAGTTTTGGCTCAACTCTGTACTTAGATTTGAAGCATTTAAAAGCCAACATAGTTCTAGTCTGTATGAAAAATCTTATTTTTTGATATATTTTGAAACTTTAGTCCCTTATTCTTAATTTAACTTACATTTGAAAATTTCGTGTAGTCTCTGATTGCTTCAAAATTATTACTAAATTCAATGTTCTATAATAATTTTGAGAGGCAGAAAATAAGATATTTTCACACGCCACCATTCCGCCAAAAATGTAGTCCCTGCTAGTTTTCAAACGCAGTTTACCATTTCTATTTAAAGTTATATAATTGTGATGAGGAAAGAAAAATATAGTCTTTTAAATCTCTTACATCTAAATATATAAGACATGTCAACAAATGTACTTTGAATATATATTCCATCTAGTCAGAAACCGGAGAAGAATCCTATCTTAAAATTTTCAGTTATTTGGAAGAGGGGGGGGGGGGCATGTGTTCCACAAACATCTCTTGTGAAAATTGATTTTTAATAATGGAACACATTTTCTTTCTGTATTGCGCTGAACTATGGAGAACAACAGAAAAAGATGACGAAAAGCTCGATACATTCCACCGAAAATGCCTTAGGAGGATCCTTAAGATACACTGGCCTGAAAAGATTACTAACCAGCAGCTATATGAAAGAACAAGATCAATACCTCTATCAAGCACTATCAAAAGAAAAAGATGGAGATGGATAGGCCACATCCTCCGAAGGGAAGAGAATTCTCACATAAGAACAGCGCTCACATGGGCCCCTGAGGGAAAGAGACGTAGAGGACGGCCAAAGAACACCTGGCGACGCTCTGTCGAGAGAGAAAGGGAAGAACTGGGCTGGAACAGTTGGAAAGAGGGCCAAGTTGTTGCCAGTGACCGCCGTAAGTGGCGTTCGTTGTTGAACGGCCTCATGCGTCCTCAGGGGCACGGAGAGGATAAGTAAGTAAGTAAGTACATTTTCTTTCAAAATATCCAAAAAAAAAAAATAATCAAAAGATTATAATATTTGAAAATATTGCAGGTATGCCCGACCACGTTGCCTTCCATGCAATAGCTTACAGTTACGCCACTTCTGGGGTAATCATATTTGATCATGTGGTAACAAATATTGGTAGCGGATACGACAACAGCTCTGGAATTTTTAAAGCACCAACATCAGGATTGTATGTGTTTTCTTGGAGCATAGAGACTTATGGAAGGTTGACAGAGGGCGTTCTCCTATTGAATGGAAATGAGCAGGGAATGTCGAAGTCCCATCAATCCTCGTCATACTACGATACAACTACCTCTTTTGCCGTCCTTAACCTTACGGTAAACGATAAAGTCTGGGTCCGAGTCAAAAGCGGGCGAGCAGAGGCAATTCATACCATGTTTTCCGGATGGATGATAAATTCAACAGGTTTGATTATCTAACATCTTTGAAATTAGGTAATTGGAACAAAGGTTATATTTCATATTTTCCATCTTTTATTATATTGCAAGAATAAGATGAAAATAACGATAAATGTTCGATGTTTTGAATTCTTCGTCTAAAATTTCTTCTCATTTTAGCTTATATCTTTATTTTTTCATACAAGGCTTAAGAATGTGTCTTTTGTTAAGTTCTGTATGTTCAGTGTTTTATGAAGGTGAAACGGGGTGAATATTTTACAACATGGAGTATTACAGGTTTTTGCAATCTTTTAATTTTTTTACGTTTTTATTTTATTGCGAAAAAGATTTTAAGTTTTTTTTTTTCTTCTTTTTTTTTTATAGACAATTCAGCATTTTACACTTCACTTTCGCATGATGTAACTGGTTCTCACATATTCTTCAACAAAGAGATCCTAGATACAGAAAATACTTACTCCACATCTAGCGGGAACTTTGTGGCGCCGCGTTCTGGACTTTACGTTTTTATGATGTCGGGACTTATCTATGGAAGTTACGAGTTCAGTTGCAAGTTTCACTACAGCAACAGTCGTTCTGAGCCAGATGTTTGGGTGGACTCGAGCAGCGGCCAGTACGACAGCAGCAGTTATATGTCATTTGCCTGGCTGAACTCTGGCGACTCTGTTTCTGTCTCTGGCAATAGAATGGTGACAACCTCCATGTTCGCAGGATGGCAGCTGACTGGCGAAAGAGGCGGTAACTCAATCATGTTTGACATTATAAGTCCTCTAAATTTCAATATTTGCTTACCCTATACGTAAGAGAATCGTAAACTTTAAATTCAGCATTACATTAAAGTTGTATGGAATATGTTTGAAATTGTCATATTTAGGTTAGAATAAAAACGTTTTATAAGTCAGAAAATGTTTTTGTGAATATATTTGTTTGTATGTTTCGTTTTGGAGGGGTCCGATTCGAAGGTTTTCTATTTAAAAAGAAATATACCATTCTCTTCGGACCTTAACTACCATTGTTTATCATACGATACTAACATATTTATTTTTTCATGTAGTGTCAAAGTCAACATATCCAGCTTTCCTTGCACATCTAGGCAGTGACACTACTAGAACTCCAATTGTGTATGGTACAGTTCATGGTGGATATAATCACGGCTACTCAACAGGCACAGGCATATTCACAGCCGACCGTGACGGATTGTACTTGTTTTTGTATAATACAGAAGGTGACGACCAGGTCGTACGTACTGCGCTGAGAGTCAATGGCGTTGAAATATTCGAAACGAGGGCGGACGGACGCCATTCTGGTTATGACGACACTGCCGCTGTCACGGTGCTTCAGTTATCTTCACGCGATCAAGTCTCTATAGGAGTTAAATCTGGGACAGCTGATAGTGGGCAGTCGTTGTTTTTTGGCATTCTTCTTTATGAAATTTGACTTTATTTTTACAGTTTCAAAATGTTCTGAGATTTAATTATAAATTCATGAAACTTTGATCTTTTTTATTTGTTATTATGTTAGCCAGGTACATGAACTGTTCAAAGTGACAAGTAAAGAAGCAACACATTGATGGATGGTACTATAGTATGTACTGTAATCCGGTGTTGAACCAAGATCCAATATGTCAATATTTTGTTTACACATGGAACAATGGAAAGAGGAAAATACATCTTTTAATTCATGCAATAAGAATGTATAATGATAGCTTAATATATGCAATTTATATATATATTTTCATTTCATGCACAGTTGCAAACTGATCCGAAATTTAAATTGGCCAACACAAAGTACAGGTACTGCGAGAACTGAGCGCACTAAATGCCCCCTCCCCCTTCCGCTTTGATCATATTGGCAAAGTCCATGTTTTGATCCATGAGAGTGTCAGACCAAGAAGTAAAATAGGATATCACAATGGCATTATGTAATAAAGAATCTGTAAACGTTTCATTTAAATTTATTCAGTGATATAGGAGGAGTTGCGGATAAGAGATCGGTGCCCTTCAATATTATAGAAAGAATGGGATGTCGATGTTCTGCTATGGAATTCTAAAAACATGTGTCGTACCAAAAAATAAAATAGATCCAAAATTGTATTTTGTCATAAAGAATCTGTGAAAGTATCCTTTAAATTTTATTCAGTGGTGTAGGAGGAATTGCGTATAACAGATGGGTATCATTCAATATTACACAAAGAATGGCAGGGCCCAATTCTTGATATGGAAATCTTAAGATATGTGTCGGATCCAAAAGTAAAATAGGAGACCCTGTGCACAATTGCAAAGATTCTTTGAAAGTATCATTCGGTGGTATTAGTATAAGATGAGTTGTGAATAAGAAATGGGTACCCCGCGTAACAGACGGACGGACGTACAGATGGACATCACGATCACTATACACCCGCAAACTTTCCAAACGGTGGGCGAATTTCACGTTATATTCGTGTCCCTGAGCCAAATATGGTTTCAAATTAAAAGAATTTTTAAAATGTACTCATTTCATTCAGAGTGCAAAGGAGGTTGGGAAAGTTTCCAATGGTTGATTGATTCATTGTATGTTGTTTAACAACCCTCTCGAGAATTTTTCTCTCGAATGCAGACGCAACAAAACACTTGCCGGTGAAGAGTTACAAATTTTGTCTCCACATCATACAGTGGGATTCGAACCCGCGACGTAAGGACCAACTCCTTACTTCGTGACTCTAGAGCAGACGCTCTAACCACTGCTCCAGGCGGGCCACAAAAAAGTTTCGACAAAAAAAATTTCCAATGGAAACTATCCCCAAACACTTTATATGGCTGAATTTTATTCAAATTTAGTAGGGAGGTTCTACATAAACACACACACACACAAACAAACAATCCACAAACCAACAATCGAATTTAAAAAATGGAGTTTGTCTCCCAGTTAATTCGATATGCAAGAGCATGATCTATGGACGCCCAGTTTCTGAAATTAGACAAGCTACTGAAAAATAAGTTCATAAAACAAGAACATCAAAACTTTCGTTTTTAAGTCAGAATTTTGCAAATTCTTTAATCGATGTAATAATCAGCAAGCACATTAACATTAAAATTTTCAACCAATGTTTCATTTAACGGATCATGGCAAGGGACACACGACGGGAGTGATCGACAGGGGATGCTTACTCCCCCAGGGCACCCTGTCCCAACTTTTAAGTTTTTAGAGGTGTCTGTGTTTGCTTTGCTCCTTGTTTGTATTGTTCAATGGACTTTTGATCATGATTGCTATTCGTTATCTTCGTTACCTGATCCCACCTCTGATGTTTCGGAGGTCCGTGTTTGCTCTGCTCCTGTTTTGTATATTTGTTTAATGGACGTTGAGATTGAATACTGTTCGTTATTTCCATATCCTTACTTCATATTTCATCAAGGAAAGTCTGATTTCGCAATGTATAAAGTGCGTTGAAAATGCGGATCCCCGCAGAAGAAAAGAAGGCATTCATTTCTTATCTATACAGGTATTTCAAGAAGTAGGCAGATATGAATATTGTTGCGAAAAACCTTCTCTGTAAGTTGTTATAGCGATAAATGTTTACATGGTTTATTATTCTGTTGTAATTTCAGGTTTTACATATTGCTTTCATATTTTAGTTTTACTAGGCCTTTACTCCGTCACCACAAGGTGTGTTCAAGGTAGGTACAACTACACTGTATCACTCGACAAATTGTTAGTACTTTACTCAAATTGTTTTACTGTTACAGGAAAATTGGTAACATTTTCATTCATGATATACCTAATCTTTTACGTGAGACCAATCACAAATTGTTGCGGACAAGTTGATAAACATTAACAGTAAGACAATATATTCTTCAGGTTTGACGTGCCTGAGATGTTCTGACGTTACTGAACCCAGACTCTGTGATAAAATAGAACACTGTAATGATGGAGAGGTGAGATCTAGTCACGTTGTAAGGTAGTCCACACTCTGTAATTACTTAGAGTTGGGATCTAGTCCCGTTGTAAGGTAGTTCAGACTCTATAATGAAGGAGAGGTGAGATCTAGTCCCCTTGTAAGGTAGTTCAGACACTGTAATACAGTCCCATTGTAAGGTAGTCCAGACTCTGTAATGATGGAGATATGAGATCTAGTCCCATTGTAAGGTAGTCCAGACTCTGTAATTACGGAGACGTGTGATCTAGTCCCATTTTAAGGTAGTCAAGACTCAATGAGAGGTGATATCTAGTCCCATTGTAAGGTAGTCCAGACTCTGTAATGATGGAGACGTGTGATCTAGTCCAATTGTAAGGTAGTCCAGATTCTGTAATGATGGAGATATGATATCTAGTTCCATTTAAGGTAGTTCAGACACTGTAATGATGGAGAGGTGAGATCTAGTCCCATTGTAAGGTAGTCCAGACTCTGTAATTACGGAGACGTGTGATCTAGTCCCATTGTAAGGTAGTCCAGACTCTGTAAGGATAGACAAGTGTGAAATAATACCATTGTAAGGTAGTCCAGACTCTGTAATGATGGAGACGTGTGATCTAGTCCCATTGTAAGGTAGTCCAGACTCTGTAATAATGGAGACGTGGGATCTAGTCCCATTGTAAGGTAGTCCAGACTCTGTAATGATGGAGAGGTGAGATCTAGTCCCATTGTAAGTAGTCCAGACTCTGTAATGATAGAGAAGTGAGATCTTGTCCCATTGTAAGGTAGTCCACACTCTGTCCCACACTCTGTAATGATGTAATTACGGAGAGTAATGATAGAGAAGTGAGATCTTGTCCCATTGTAAGGTAGTCCACACTCTGTAATTACGGAGATGTGTGATCTAGTCCCATTGTAAGGTAGTCCAGACTCTGTAATGATGGAAATATGATATCTAGTTCCATTTAAGGTAGTTCAGACCATGTAATGGTGGGGAAGTGAGCTCTTTTCCATTTAAGGTAGTTCAGACGCTGTAATGATAGGGACGTGAGATCTAGTACCATTTAAGCTAACATCATTGTAAAGTAGTCCGGACTCAAACATTCTACACAATGATTAAAACCTTACTTTGACAGGTGTGCGCAGTACAACAGTACCGAGCAGATAACGGAGACATTGGATACTGGACTGGATGTTATCCCAAACAGGTCTGTCTACTTAAGACAATGCTTTACTCAGTATTTTCTAGAGGATTGCACGAGATCTTTGAGGCTACTAGTATTTTAGAGTTTCATCGTAATAATTTTTGTTAAAATGTTGATTCGATCTTTACTGCGCTGGTAGTTTCTATTTTATATGTGTGATTGTTGACTGTATATTTACTTGTAATTTTGAGGAATGTACAGCTGTGGATAATAGAACAGTTGTGACCAAGAAACGAAGTCAGTACATAGATGGCGTGGTCCAGTGTCGAGACTGCTGTACATCAGATATATGTAACGCCTACGGATGTGGGTCCCCAAGTGAGTACATTTATTTATTGATAAATATGGTGGTAATCGCTTCCAGGTTCCCTCTGCATACATCTTAGAAATAATACAATAAATGCAATTATTTATCAAAGCAGTTTATACCAATGAACTGAACATAATTATGAGGTGCCATATTGGTATTTGTTGTCATTTAGTGATATTCGCCTATTCGAATAAGTGTAATCACCTTTTCGAAAAGGTGATATCACTTATACGTATTTGCAAAAGGTGATATCTCGATCCTATTTGGAAAGGTGATATCACGCATTCAAATTTAGTAGATAATATCACCTATTTGAACAGGTGATATTACTCAATTTTATTTATCTCTTTTTATTCTAAGCTCTCTGATTGGCTCAAACTTGATCACATGATCAAGTATATAACAGCATATAGACTTGTGTTACTATTTATAGATTCTTAAAAGCATATAGACTTGATGTTTCTTAAAAATGGAAATAATCTATCTGAAACAACAAATTAAAGTGCTGACTTCTCAACACTTATAGCTAATATAACTTGGAAACTTTCTGGGAAAAAAAATAGATCAATTTTTCATTATGATGCTCTGTAATGATAAGTTGTATTTAACAAAATATTTTTCCATGAATTATAATAAACCAAAAGTAGTCTTTGAAATTACATTCACTAAATTACTAGATCAGTAAAAATTAATCACGGGTAGGATAAACAGTTTTTTTTTTAATTTTAGTCTTTGTTTATTTTAAAAAAATGTCAGAAAAAACTTGTGGCTTGTTCAAATTATTTTCAAATATGGTTTTGTTAATTTCTTACAAAAAATAATATAACAAATGTAGCCCTTTCATTCGGTCAATCCATAGATATATCGACTTCTTAGGAAAGCATTTTGACCTTACACTTCGTGTTTGGTCAATGTGCTTTTCTATGAAGTCGATATATCTATGGACCGACCTCTGAAAGACCAATACATGTATTTATATATTCGAATAGGTGATATGACCATGGATTGGTGATATGACTTATTGAAAAGTAATACTAGTAAATAATACAATCTATTCAAACTGGTGATATCACCTTTTACATTTCTTACAACGTTGAATAAAATGAACAATATGCATGTATTAATATCGCCAATTAAAAAGATGGTATCACCTATTCAAACATGTGATATCTCTTAAAGGCGGTAAATACAATAACAGCTTCCATATAAACGTTCTGTAATAAATATATATCCCTGGGGCAAGCCGTATTATTTTTTAATGTACGAATGCTAAATTGTTTGATATATTATAGGCATGATGTCAATTTTCCTTTGAAATAAACACAGAGACATATATTTTAAAGTTATATTTGTGCAAACTATATACAAGCTTTGCTTTATAATTCATTCAAATCTTTTGATAATTGAACGTTACAATACTTTTAAAAAATATTTTTTTATCAGAATACCCCGACACCAGAGGGCCTATTTGTTTTGATTGTGAGGACGTGACGGATCCAGCTGATTGTCATAACATTACCCCGTGTAGTCTCAACCAAGTATGTAATATACAATTGTTCTGTTGTCCTAAAGTTTTTGAGAACTATTACATGTAAACTTATCAGTACTGTTTTCTCCTACGTCAATATATCTATATCAATAAATTACTTGAATTCTTACTCACACTTTGTTATAGTCATTATTGTGGAACACATTTGACATCTTTTTTAGCTCACCTCAGCCGAAGGCTCAAGTGAGCTTTTCTGATCACATTTTGTCTGTAGTCCGTCTGTCTCTCTGTCTGTCTGTCTGTCTGTAAACTTTTCACATTTTCGACTTCTTCTCAAGAACCACTGGACCAATTTCAACCAAACTTGCCACAAAGTATCCTTGGGTAAAGGGGATTCAAGTTTGTTCAAATGAAGGGCCATGCCCCATCCCAAGGGGAGATAAATAATAATTACTGAAAATTAATGACAATTTTCAAAAATCTTCTTCTCAAGAACCACTTGGCCAGGAAAGATGAAACTTATGTGGAAACATCCTCAGGTAGTGTAGATTCAAGTTTGTTCAAATCATGACCCCCGGGGTAGGGCGGGGCCACAATGGACGACCAAAGTTTTACAAAGGAATATATAGGTAAAAATCTTTAAAAATCTTCTTAAGAACAGCAAAGCAATGTTTGGTCATATTTATATGGAAGCATCCTCAGGTAATGTAGATTCAAATTTGTTCAAATCATGACCCCTGGGGGGTAGGGCGGGGCCACAATGGACGATCAAAGTTTTACATAGGAATATATAGGAAAAAATCTTTAAAAATCTTCTTCTTGAGAACAGCAAAGCCATGATTGGTTATATTTATATGGAAGCATCCTCAGGTAGTGTCGATTGAAGTTTGTTCAAATCATGACCCCCGGGGGTAGGGTGGAGCCACAATGGACGATCAAAGTTTTACATAGGAATATATAGGAAAAAATATTTTAAAATCTTCTTGAGAACAGCAAAGCCATGAATGGTCATATTTATATGGAAGCATCCTCAGGTAGCGTAGATTCAAATTTGTTCAAATCATGATCGCTGGGGGTAGGGCGGGACCACAATGGACGACCAAAGTTTCACAAAGGAATATATATGATATAGGAAAAAATCTTTAAAAATCTTCTTCTTGAGAACAGCAAAGCCATGAATGGTCATATTTATATGGAAGCATCCTCAGGTAGAGTCAATTCAAGTTTGTTCAAATCATGACCCCCAGGCGTAGGGCGGGGCCACAATGGACGATCAAAGTTTTACATAGGAATATATAGGAAAAAATATTTTATAAATCTTCTTCTTGAGAACAGCAAAGCCATGATTGGTCATTTTTATATGGAAGCACCCTCATGTATTGTGGCCCATGGGCCTCTTGTTTTTATTGTAACCCAAGATTACCAAAAGAGGTGAAGACACCGAACAGTATCTAGATAAATTAAAAAAAACAATACAATTATGTGAATACTGTTCCCGGAAATCACTGAGGTGGGATCAAGTTGTCAAGGAGGATTCAGCACTTAAAAGCTAGATCATGCTAAATAACTCATTAAAACGATTGTCATCCCTACTCCCTAGATATCATTTTGTTAACTATATTATTCTCCAAAAGTAATTTTAATTTGTCTTAATATGCAAATATAATGTGTAATTTTATTTCGTGCGACAACAACCATTTCTAACAAACTCTACAGGTACCATAGACACTTTTTTGACAAAGCTTAAATCACACAAAAGTATGTGAACAATATAAAAGCACCATTTCTGACTCCTTTAACACATCACCTTTTCATTTTTCTGTTTGTTCTTCTTAAGTAATTGTTCTCAGTGCTCTGCACATGAGTTGTATTATCTATATGATGGATCAACTTTAAAAAAAATCCATGTTTCTATCCAATCAGTTTAAAATCCATATCAGATGTTCTTCTTAAAACTTCTCCACTTCAAAACATTCCGTCTTCCCATATCACTTTCAGTTCGTAGATTCCCTTCTGTTGTCATTTGCTGGATGCATGACTGTATTAGGCCTTTTGTTAGTGGCTGCACTTTCATGCAGAAATCCCATTCTATGTCTAAGGCCAACCTCTTTCTGCCAGTATGTTGATTTTCAGTCATTTGCACTTCTTTTTCTTTCTTCAACACTGAAGCCTCTCTCCACTTGGTACTGATAAGGAATCAAGAGAAGGACGTGACAGTAACAGTAAAAAAAGGGTAGCAGAACGTCTTGGTTTGTTGACTGACACACTTTGTAGTGAAATGCAGAGGTTCAAAGTATACACACACATTCAATATATCAAACCAACTTAACCACTACAGAACCATCAAGCAAAATCTAAACCAAAATGAAGTGTTGATACAAGTTGATTTCGCTGAGAATTCCCAATGCAATCTCTCCAAAGAAATCCAAAGTATGCATTTCGGGGCATCGCAGCAACAAATCACATTGCACACAGGAGTTTATTACACAAAAGTTTCTTGCAGCCTCTGACTGCTTAGACCACAACCTGAGTGCTATATGGGCATGTCTTGACACTATGTTGGACAAGATTATGGTTGAAAATAAACAAGTGGAAACAATTCATTTCTTCAGTGATAGTCCTTGCAGCCATTACTGCCAAAAAGGAATTTGTTTATAATTTTAAAAGAAATGTGAAGAAGATGATTACAAGCTACGTGGAACTTTCACGAAAGTGGCCATGGGAAAAGAGTACCTGATGGTGTTGGTGGTTCAATGAAAAGAACAGCAAACGATGTAGTTATTCTCGCGAGAACGTAGCCAAAACAAGTGATGCATTGTGGATTACTTACTGCAGCAAAAAATTCTATCGAATGAATGTGCAGTAGTCCGAATTTTCTCTCTCTTCGCCCAGGCGTTGCTTTAAGAGCTCGCAGTGACGACGTCACGAAACGACGTTCGCTATTACTCCTGCGTTGAGCAGACGCTCTAACCACTGCGCCACGCTGGCGACCAGTGAGGGTTCTGTATTGTGCCAACGTCTACAGTGCCAAGACTGATCTGCGATACACCATGCACTAAATAGATGTTATTGAAAACTAGGTACAGTAGTATCCCATGTTGATTGACCCATAATTTGAACTTTATAGGTATATAACTCATTTTTTATCCACAATTTTCATTTCTTCATATCACCTTCAGTCGTGGAAGTTTAAAGATAGGGCGATCATTTTGTAATCGGGAGGTAACATTTTGTTCCTTGTTCCCGGCCCGACGTCAAACACCAGATGCTAATGTTAGTTATGACTCTTCGCTAAGCGCCCGGCTTAAGAGGTGAAAGTCACGGGTGTTTGGGATAAAATACCGAGGTTCTGTATCACGGTAGGCGTTGGCACGATAATAAACATACATTACTCAATGACCTCGAGTAAAGATAATAATTTGAAGCCTTTTACAGGTGTATGGTGACGTCTCACGAGAGAAAATATCTCATAAAAGACGTAAAACAACAATCAGTTATCCACTTGCTTACCTGAAGATTTCTTTCATTTCTTTCTGTCTTCTACTCATAGTTAAATTTTTTCACTAGTTTCTATTAGGAACATCAATCTTGCATTTTTCTTCTTCGTCACTTTTCAATTCTTTTTAACAATCTTTTATTGCTCACAAATGTGGTAATGATTCTAGTTCTTCTAGTATTAACTTCTCTTTGTTGTAACTGCCATGGGTGCTCTAACATGTGAGTGGTGTATTTATGCCTTCAACAACGACCCACTGCTTTTCTTCTCATTTGACATAACTCTCTTGCTAATCGTCACCCGCGTGGCGCAGTGGTTAGACCGTCTGCTCTAGAATCGCGAAGTAAGGAGTTGATCCTTACGTCGTGTGTTCGAATCCCACTGTGGGACGTGGATTCCGGTCCTTCGGATGAGACCGTATGAACCGAGGTCCCATGTCGCAGATGCTTGCACGAAAAAGATCCCTCACTGCTTAATTGCCCTGACTGCCGAGTGTAGGACAAAATTTGCAGCTCTCCACTGGCAAGTGATTGCGTCTCCGTATGAGTGGAAAAATTTTCGACGGTGACGTTAAACAACATACAGTCAATCAATCTTGCTTATAATTGCAGCTTAAACAGGATAGCTCAACTCAATGTATTTCATTGTATTCGAGAAGAATACTGTAAAAAGCCTTGCTGCCTACCGGCATGATACTGACCTTCTTAGATAAGTTTGCCTACCAAAACTCCATTCGCCTAATCTCTCCTGGATCTTTCTCTTGTTTCTCCAGATTGAAACTGATCTGAACTCTTTTTCATTATCTGTAACCCTGACTTTCTTGGTTGGCACTGGTTTCCCGAATAGAATTACACACATGTACATATATCTGTATCCCGGAGGAAAATGATACATGGCTACTTCTTCTGAGGGATTCTCCTTCTCTGGTCCTTTCTACAACACATCCCAAGTTCTGTCGATTGGGACAATCAACTCCCAACTTAGAACCATTTGGTCCTTCACCACTTTTTTCTCTCATTAACTGTCTTTCTACTTGTTCGACCTTTCTCTACAACCAGTTGGATATTCTCGCTATCTTTTCATATACATCTTCCTGTGTGTATCCTTCTCTCTGTTTCACCAATGGTTCTGTGTGATTCTGCATGAATTGCCAACGAATCCTTTTTTGCCACTGATCAGATAACTATTCCGGACCGCTTATTCATAATCTGATATTTCATGTGAAAATTATTTCTGTGTATAAATTTATACTGACAACATTTTTTCCCTGAAGTTTAATACAGCTAATAAACGCAATCACCAGAGTGTGCCTAGAGTAAAAACTACCCGGTACTCATTTAGGCAGTCTTAGCATGGACGATTCAATTGTGATGTTGTTAACATGCCTCATTTGCATTATCATATTAATGTTCACATTCAAACATTATGTCATAGATGTTATTGTCTTAAACATTGAGAATGATAATGTAATTTCTCTAATTTACAGAAATGTTTCATATTTGAAAGAAGAGTTTTTGGACAGAGATATTTCACGTCCAAATGTGAATCACTGATGGTATGTTTTTTTTTACTAAGGATAAAACAATCAGTTTACTGAAGAACTTTTCGTGCATAATTTAGAATGCTACATGAGTGTAACGTTTTCCAGGGTTGTCTTCCGCACTTTACGGGACCAGTCGTCGGCAGGAAGCGTGATTTATCAGGACTGTGTATCCACTGCTGTGACGGTGATCTCTGTAATGCCGACTGCTCTTCAGCATCAAATGCCACCGTCACCAAGCCAAGCAGTCCTAGTATAAACCAGATTTAATATGCATATCAACTATGACACTTAAAGAACTTATCCTATATAATATGATACTGGTCGGTGCAGTTATTGTCTGAAATAGGTTGAAATGAAATATTGAGATAATGAACAGTATTCAACATAAAGTCCATTTAAACAATACCCATCAGAGCAGAGCAAACAAGGGTCTCAAATAACACCAGAGGTGGGATCTGGTGCCATGGAGGAGTGAGGATTCCCTCCCGATCGGTCACTTTGGTTTGCTCCTTGTCATGATCTTGAACATCGTCGGAAACCCACGGGTGATCTTTACTTATCAAGACGAGATCATCCGTGGGTTTCCGACGATGGATCGTGAAAAACGGGAAAAAAATCCATACGCAATTCATTATAGCCTTACAAATAAAATGAAAAATTTCAGTCTGACTTAATGATAGATGTTATTTGCCGACAAGGTCATTGTATCGACAATAAAACTTGCGAAATGATGACTTCAAACAAGAGTCAAAAGCTTGCTACGTTTTAGAATTTGTTTATACGTAAAGAGCATGAAATTGGGCATGAAATATGATAAAGGTATATTGCTGCATAAGTATGAGAAGATGACAATTGAAATATCCAGTGTAGATAAGGTTATTCATTTTCAAAGGTTGGAAATGATAGGAAAGAAATAAAGATAACTGTTATCAATTTCATAAATCATATAAACAATACGAAAAGAACAGTTAACTCGACAAACTTGAACTTATCCCCTGGAAACACCAAAGATTGAAAATTTGTCTAATAAAAGAAACGGTGAACAAGCTCACATATCCCACGCTACCAAAACTCGACAATGCATTACCTAATGAATGGCACAAAAGTAATGGAATAGGAATTCCCTGGTAATATGCATATCTGCACACAGTGTACTTAATATCTGCAAACTTTTGGGTACGACAGATTTTGGACAGAGTTATGCCCCTTGGACTTAGAATAATTTCAATTTTTGGCAGTTTCCGTTCATTTTCTTTGCAGTGGTTGCACACACTGAAATGTTGAAATTTGGTATACAGATTTAACATATTTTCAACAAATTAAGCTCAACTTCTGTGTTCGGTACAATCAATTTTGGACAGAGTTAGTCCATTGGACTTTTAAGAATTTTAATTATATGGAAAAGGGGGGGAATGTGTTTCACAAACATCTCTTGTGAAAATTGATTTTTAATAATGGAACACATTTTCTTTTTTAAAAAACTGAAAAAAATAAAAGATTATAAGATTTGAAAATTTTGCAGGTATGCCTGACCACGTTGCCTTCCATGCAATAGCTTACAGTTACGCCAATCCTGGGGTTATAATATTTGATCATGTGGTAACAAATATTGGAAGCGGATACGACAACAGCTCTGGAATTTTTAAAGCACCAGCATCAGGATTGTATGTGTTTTCTTGGAGCATTGAGACTTATGGAAGGTTGACAGAGGGCGTTCTTCTATTGAACGGAAATGAGCAGGGAATGTCGAAGTCCCACCAATCCTCATCATACTACGATACAACTACCTCTTTTGCCGTCCTTAACCTTACGGTAAACGATAAAGTCTGGGTCAGAGTAAAAAGCGGGCGAGCAGAGGCGACGCATACCATGTTTTCCGGATGGATGATAAATTCAACAGGTTTTATTATCTAACATCTTTGAAATTAGTTAATTGGAACAAAGGTTATATTTCATATTTTCCATCTTTAATTATATTGCAAAAATAAGATGAGAATAATGATGAGCATTCGATGTTTTGAATTCTTCGTCTGAAATTTCTTCTCATGTCGAACTTTTATCTTTAATTTTTCATACAAGGCTTAAGAACGTGTCTTTTGTTCAGTTTTGTATGTTCAGTGTTTCATGAAGGTGAAACGGGATGAAAATTAACAACATGGAGTATTACAAATTTTTGCAACCTTTTAAATTTCTTTCGTTTTTTTTTTATTGCGAAAAAGATTTTAGTTATTTTTTCTTCTTTTTCATAGACAATTCAGCATTTTACACTTCTCTTTCGCATGATGTAACTGGTTCTCACATATTCTTCAACAAAAAAATCCTAGACACAGAAAATACTTACTCCACATCTAGCGGGAACTTCGTGGCGCCTCGTTCTGGACTTTACGTTTTTATGACGTCGGGACTTATCTATGGAAGTTACGAGTTCAGTTGCAAGTTTCACTACAGCAACAGTCTTTCTCAGCCAGATGTTTGGGTGGACTCGAGCAGCGGACAGTACGACAGCAGCAGTTATATGTCATTTGCCTGGCTGAACTCTGGTGACTCTTTGTATGTATATGGAAGTAGAATGGTTACAACCTCCATGTTCGCAGGGTGGCAGCTGACTGGCGAAAGAGGCGGTAACTCATTGTTTGACATTATAATTCCTCTTTTCAATATTTGCTTACCTTACTTAAGAGAATCGTAAACTTCAAATTCAACATTTAATTAAAGTTGTAGGGAATTAGTTTGAAATTGTCATATTTTGGTTAGCATGATAAAACGTTTATAAGTCAGAAAATGTTTGTGTGTATATTTTTTTGGATCTTTCATTTTGGGGGCTCCGATTCGAAGGTTTTCTATTTAAGGACACTAAAGAGCTATGTTTATTGGGTAGTTTTTTGCAGTTAGAGTGATTTGCCCTTTGATGTAAGAATAAAAAAAAAATTATTTACGTTTAATTACACAACTTATAATAATTAAAATACTTTTACCATTATATAACACCCAAGAGTAAGAAATTAAATAAATTATTTTCATCAATATTCTAAATGTAAGTAATCAACAGTGATTTCTGCTCACAAATAGTCCAATGTCTTTGAACATTTTCCCTGCGCAAATAAGGCACGTACCCTATGTTCTAAATGAATGAAAAAGTCTCAATATCCATATCTTTATAAGATATATTTTTCCCTGAGTCCAAAAACAGTTTCTGTAAGTGTTTAGAGCGTCCTTAAAAAGAAATATTCCATTCTTCCCAGACGTTAACTACTTGTACCATTGTTAGTCATACATGTAAGATACTAACAGATTTATCTTTATTTCATGTAGTGTCAAAGTCAACATATCCAGCTTTCCTTGCAAATCTAGGCAGTGACACTTCCAGAACTCCAATAGTGTATCGTACAACTTATGGTGGATATAGCCACGGCTACTCAACAAGCACAGGAATATTCACTGCCGATCGTGCTGGATTGTACTTGTTTTTGTATAATACAGAAGGCGACAGCCAGCTCGTACGTACTGCGCTGAGAGTCAACGGCGTTGAAATATTCGAAACGAGAGCAGACGGTCGCCATTCCGGTTATGACGACACTGCCGCTGTCACGGTGCTTCAGTTATCTTCAAATGATCAGGTCTCCATAGGAGTTAAATCTGGGACAGCTGATAGTGGGCAGACGCTGTTTTTTGGCATTCTTCTCTATGAAATTTGACTTTAATTTTACAGTTTCAATATGTTCTGAGATTGAATTATAAATTCATGAAACTTTGATCTTTTTTATTTGTTACTATATAAGCCAGGCACATGAACTGCTCAATGACAAGTAAAGGAGCATCACATTGATGGACGGTACTATACTAACTACTGTAATCCGGTGTTGAACCAAGATCCAATAGGTCAATATTTTGTTTACACCTGGAACATTGGAAAGAGGAAAACACATCTTTTAATTCATGCAATAAGAATGTATAATGATAGTTTAATATATGCAATAGTGGGAAACATATATATATATATATATATATATATATATATATATATATATATATATATATATATATATATATATATATATATATATATATATATATATATTCATTTCAAGCAATTTGATCCGAAAATTTTAATTGACCAACACAAACTACAGGTACTGTGAGAACTGAGCGTACTAAATGCCCCTCCCCTATAATTATATAGGCAAAGTCGATGTTTTGATCTCTGAGCGTGTCAGATCAAGAGTAAAATAGGATATCAAAATGGCATTATGTAATAAAGAATCTGTGAAAGTTTCATTTAAATTTTATTCAATGGTATAGGAGGAGTTGTGGATAAGAGATGGGTGCCCTTCAACATTATAGAAAGAATGGGATGTCCATGCTTGTTGTGGAATTCTTAAAACATGTGTCGGACCAAACAAATATAAAATAGAAGATCCAAAATTGTATTTTGTCGTAAAGAATTAATATGTGAAAGTATCCTTTAAATCTTGTTAAAAACAGACCAAAAAAATAAAATAGGAGATCCAAAATTGTATTTTGTCATAAAGAATCTGTGAAAGTATCCTTTAAATTTTGTTCAGTGGTATAGGAGGAGTTGCGGATAAGAGATGGGTACCCTTCAATATTACAGAAAGAATGGCAGGGTCCAATTCTTGCCATGGAAATCTTAAGATATGTGTCGAATCCAAGAGTAAATAGGAGGTCACAATGGCAAAGATTCTGTGAAAGTCTCATTAAATTTCATTCAGCGGTATTAGTATAAGATGAGTAATGAAAAAGAAATGGTTATCCAGCGTAACAGACGGTCGGACATACAGATGGACATCCCGATCACTATACACCCTCAAACTTTCCAAGCGGTGAGATCAGGGTGGGGTAATTAAAAGTTCTTCTTCTCAAGACCATTGGGCCAGAAATGCTGAAACTTATGTGGAAGCATTCTGGGGTAGTGTAGATTCTAAATTGTTCAAATCATGACCCCGGGGGTAGGACGGAGACACAATAGGGAATCAAAGTTTTACATAGAAATATGTAGGAAAGAACTTTTAAAATCTTCTCAAGAACCATTGGGCCAGGAAAGCTGAAACTTATGTGGAAGCATTCTTAGGTGGTGTAGATTCTAAATTGTTAAAATCATGAATCGCAGGGATAGGGCGAGGATACAATACGGAATCCAAGTTTTACGTAGAAATATATAGGAAAAATCTTTAAAAATCTCTTTCTCTAGAACCAATGGACCATAAAGCTGAAACTCCTGTTGAAACATCCTGTGGTAGTGGTTCGCTTCGTGATCGGGAGGCCCGAGTTCGATTTTCGTTCGCGGCGCCGCGTCAAACCTAAGACGTAAACATAGGCTGTGACTGTTGCTTGGCCAAGCGCTCGGCACTAGAAGTGAAAGTCACGGGTTTTTCGGATATGACCTTAAAAACGTAGGTCCCGTGTCACGGTAGGCGTTCGCACGATAAAGAAACCTCACTGCTCAATGGCCCTGAGTGCCGAGTATACATAGGTCTAAATTTGAAGCCCTTCACCGGCATATGGTGTCGTCTCTGTATGAGTGAAAAATTCTCCAATGGGATGTTAAACAATATACAATCGATCAATCCTGGGGTAGTGTAGATTATAAATTGTTAAAATCATGAGGGGAAGGGCACAATAGGTATAACAAGAGGGGGAATCTGGTAAAGAACTGCATCACCAAAGTTACTCAGGTGAGCGATGTGGCCCATGGGTCTCTTGTTTTGATATTATCACTGTTACTCAAATATTTTGAGAATATGTTCTTTACAAAATAGAGGTCGTAATCCGAGCGTGCACTTTCCATACTGAGAATCAATGGAGTGGACAAATTTGAAACAAAGTCGGGAGGGTACCATTCTAGTTACGACGACACATACGCCGTCTCTGAATTTGAATTATCTTACAACAAGTTTCAGTTGAAGTCAAATACCAATTTAATTAAAATGAGATTTTTGATCTGCTCTAACTTGATCACTTTCATCTAGTTGGGGCGGATCAAAGATCTCATTTTAGTTAAATTGACTCAAATACAGAACTGCCGGTACGTGATGGCCTCTCACTATTCCTCGGCATACTCCTTTTTAAAATTTATCTCACTGTGTTGTTATATACATGTAAATTGTAATATTATAAATGAAATAACGAAGGTTTTGCTTTCCTTTCATGCATTCCTGTTTTTGTAAACGTTCGTTTTAACAGCACATTTAAGCAAGATTGGCACTATGAGTCCTAATTCTTCATTTTTCAGGGAGAAGCACTTAACAGAAGGTCCTTGCTATGTCAGATTTGACGTTCCTTCTTCTTTCTGGCAAACTGATTTTTTCTTTCTAAAAATGGGTTCATAATACAGCTGGAAATCCAATATTCTTCAATTACAGTTGGATTAGAAGCTAACATTCATGAAAGGCAGATATTACCCCTCCTGCTGTGAAATAACCTACATCGACAAAGAAAAAGATTTAAAATAACACATACATGGAAATACCGGTACTTTAAAGTATTTTTTTTTTATCAATTTTTTTTTTGGTGTATATAAGGTACGAGAATGTTAGCGTCGTCAGGAAACGTCAAAGAGAAACGTGTCGCATTCCCCATTATTTCTCAATATATACTGCATGGAAGAACCAGTTATTGAAGATAAAGACGTTGTCTAATAACAATCACATGAATTTTAGCAATAGTTTGACAAGTCAAAGCGAGTCTTAACCGAGAAGGATGTGACCAATATAGCACAGGGCCTCAGAACTGAAGAAAACAGAATGGACATATATAGTGTTGGATGTAACCACTCAGTCAATTAGGAAGCCAGTAAAGTTAATATGATTAACAGATGGACATCTATTAAACATGACAAAGATGACTAAATTATTATACAAACAAAATTAATCAGACAAGAATTAACAGGTCTTGAGGCATTTACACTTAATAAGTATCAATTCTTTTGACAGAGTCACCTCGTCCTACTATAACCTTAAAGCTAATGAGGTCAATAAATAAAAAGTTTGTAAAGTACCCGGAAACACAATAATAAGACAAAGAAATTTGCGTGAGAGAGAAAGAGAGGTTGTGTGTAGGTCTGTCTCTCTTTTAAAAAAGCAAGTAATGAAATTATGAACAAGATTGTGGAGGGGTGGCACTAACCTGTGACTCCTCCTCTAGCAGTTTAAAGCAATTTTATATTATCATTCTAGCAAGGTGTGTGCACTTTCTGAAATCATTAATTTGAAAATAAAACAATAGTGGTTACGAAGGCTCGGTATATGACGACTACCAAATGTCAAAAAAAAATGTTTACATTCATTTTTGTTCAGATTTGTTAGATTTTTTAACTGCATATTAGTAAATAAAAAAAAAGATTTGAAAGACTAACATTTTTATGATATTCTAACTTTTAATGGACCATTGCCAAGTACTTTGTTACTTGTTCGTTTAATAGGTGTGCTAACAATTTAAATAAATAAAGAAAAATGAATTTAAATCTCGACACACGGGCTGTTAAATAGAATGATTGCACTAGTAATTAGATTTCTCTTCAGTTTGGGTCTTTAATTTCTATGCTAAATACGGTCACATTCAACATTACTTACCTCCAATTACCTGCAAGGGACGTAAACTTACCTTCGTCCTGTTGAGAGGCCTTTTGTGTACAGTATCTCGACATGTGGATTTCAGTCCGGAGGAAAGTTCTCCACTAGTTAACGCATACACAGGTAAGACAATTTTATACATACACACATCATCGACGAAATCTTTTCGATTCTTTAATTTCTTTTTCATTATTATTTCTCTCTTTTTTATGTGCATTACCATTTTTAAGGTGGGTTTATGTCACATGTAAGTGCAATGTTTCTAAATAAATTGCGGCTATGAGATTAAACTAAAACAAACAACGCTTAGAACAATCGTACAAGTACTAAGGCCATGAAGTAAATGGGATTTTTTTCTCTCAAAATGCTTTGAAATATGTTCATACATGCACGTAGTTTGATTGCTATCATTTTCTTCTGCTTGCCTTAAACTGTCAACAAGATAAGTCTCTGTCCAGATTTAAAAAAATCTTTGTGTAAATATATTTATCAGATATAGGTCGACATGATATAAAACTTTGTGCAATAGATATATATGCATTTAGATGCAATGTATTTAAAATTAAACAGCTTTTAAGGTTTAATGAAGCGTAAACACAATATCTCTTTACTCATCGCATTATTATAATTATGTACATATAAAAACCCTGGGTTTATGAAGAGTTGACATTTTATTAATGTGAACTACACACGCTTCAGTTCTTGTACAGTGTTAATAGTTTTCTTTATGAGGCGCAGGTGGAAAATTTGTGGCATGATGAATATATAATATATAAACTTATATGGAATCTGTCGCATTTTATTAATAACAGCAGCCATGTTTACATAGACAATCCGTTTCCCCCGTTCAAAAGTTATCATCTACAGTATATGGCCGTAAGTGAGTCATAATTACATATTATACACTATATTTTATTGAAAAACCAATTTTTAGAAAAAAAAAATTGTTATGAAATCAATTTTAGCTAAATTTTCATGATTTTTTCTCTGAATCGTGCCGAATTGTTCAAATTTTCCTTACCTAAAATGATAAACAAATTGATACTCAAATCACTGAGAGTGGGTATAAACTATAAAATTGTCAAGACAAACATTTCTAACCTCAAATTACTATGATTTCTTAACAAATTGAAGTCTTAAAATTTTTATTTTGCACTTGACCTGTGATTTCACTGTAATACCTACAGATAAAATTATTTTGAATTAATGTGAAGAAACTGTAAAGAATTCTGCAGTTTATGATGTTTTAGTCATAAAAAATGAGCAACAAATAACACTGCAATAGTTTTTTTTTTAAATGCGATGAAAGATGCATTGGAAAAATAAAATTATGAATCACTTATGGCCACGTACTGTAATTTGCTTGATGAGTTGTGTGTACGCTGGAGTACGCAAGGATTGCAAAAAATTGAAAATATAAAATAAACTTTGTGTGTATCATTTAGAGTTGGTTAATTTTAGTCTTGCAATATTTCAATTGATCAAGTTTATTATCTTTCCATTGACAATAGTAAGTAAATCAATGATAGAAAACACAATATAACAGTCCCTTGTTCATTAGAAATAATAAAGATAGGATGAAAATTGTCTGCAAAGTGTGACTGGCCATTGAATCAGTCTCATTATATTGTTAAGCTACTGAGTAGGATTTTCCGTTGAACAAAAACCTCTAAAATTTTCAGTTCATGGATTGTCCATTTTGTGAACACATAATGCACATAGGAAAGGAAACAATTCATAAGAGTAAGTTCTAAATACCGAATGTTTCAAGTACGAAAGAGTTCGGCATACCAGGGCCACATTTCGAAGTGATAGCCCTTAACACGTTAAAAGAGGGGCACTTAGTAAATTTCGTTAAATTCGCTTAGAAAACAAGTAGGTGATGAAAAGAGACAGCTATTTGTGTTGACTCCAGCTCTAATTGTCATTTTTTCGTAGCATGTATATCAGGCGGCTGTGAATCTGAAGCTCAGCTGTTTGGGGGAAAATAGAATGGGTGACCAGTGCTTCGCAATTCCGTGTTTTCAAAAAGTGTCATTTATTCCTCAAAAAATGTGGGCAATATTTAAAGTTAATATTTCAAGTTAAAGGCTATTACGAAGAGTGCGTCCCCAACATATTGTTTTCTTATGTAAAACACTACCCACAACTGTTAATACTTAACTTTGCTTTTGCAAAGGTTTGCTACTTTATACTTCCATTTTGGGTGACATAAATATTCGTTTCAAACCACTTCCTGTGTGACTTGTAAACATTCAATGTATACATGTATTTCGATCGTCAGATATTATTTGCAGTCTTGTGTTTAAAGACCTTTTTGAGAGATGTGTTACAAAAGTAAATATTTACCCAATCTATATGTACTTGAAAGTACGGACATTTTACACAGAGGTGAGTGTACGTCGATGAATTACTTGAGATTATACCAGTATCAGGAATTATTACATAGCTTTAGTAAATATAATTATTAAAATTAATTACTGTTGTTTCATAAAAAAGTTGACTCCATCTTGTACGATATATATATATCTTGTATGTTCTTTAAGAACTAGTGAAACGATCGCGGTGTCATACAGTAAATACTGTCCCCCATTGTAAATCACCACCTGGTCTACTACGAAGTGAATTGGGGGAAAGTTTAGTAACTTTACTCCGCTATCAACGAAAGAATATTTAACATATTAAGGAGAATGTCTACTGTAAAACTTCAAAAGTTATGGTTGAGGTTGAAATTGTGTGTAATTTATTTTTTTTTATATAAAAGTTGGTCAAACTCCAAGGTCAAAATTAATGGTAGCCAGGGGAATCTTCCCACAAAAATACACATGCAAAAAATAAAGCTGAAACACCAAATATTCAAAGGTTAAGACAAATAAGTTTTTATTTCTTAAAAAATGCCATACTCCAAAGTCCGAGTTCAGAATTGTTTTTGGAAAGCCGGAGGTCCAACCAGTCAAAAATTAAGGTTTCTTCCGACAAACAGACAGACAAATGGACGGCCAGGAAAAACTTTATACCCCCGAATATTCGATAACAGGGGCATTAAAACCACAGAGTTTCATGTCTTAAAAGGTTGAACAACGTCTTTACGAAACATGATGAAAATGATATTGAAGAAATAATTCATTTCATAGCATTACTGGATTGTTATCCAACTTCATTACCTTATAATCAAGCTTCACAACCTGTATTCGTGAATTATTAATGACTTGATGTTTATCTTTACAGTGAAAGCATATCCCGGTCAACTCGAGGAATAATCCAGCTGTTGTGCAATACATACCTGTATAGGATGGAAAGTTATATACTTAATAGTACACATGATGGATTTGAGTAGTTTAATTTGTTGAGAAGTCAACTGGACAGTTTTGCTAAAAAAAACAAAACCCACTGAAAACCGTCATCATGGCAATTGTTTCCAGGGCGACATTTGTTCAAGTGATCACGGACATTATAGTGTTTATAATAGGTAAATTTAATACTGTAACAATATTATAATCATGTATGCATGGATATGGACTTGAATGCAAAGTGAAGTCATATTACAAAAAGTTTCAAATCATTTTAACAATAAAGGGTGCTTTTTATACATAACTCACTTTGAGAAAAAAAAAAATCTCAGAAGTATGTGATTTTGTTTTTCAGTGACAATATTTGCCCTGCTATTATCCTTCAACAAACTGACAGCAATACAGCCCTTTATCCGGGGATTTTTCTGTGATGATCAAAGTCTGATGTATCCGTACCGAGAGGACTCGATCTCAACTGTTACCACCGCCATCTTGGCGCTACTTCCTCCCACTGTCATAGTAATGTCGTTAGAAACAACTTAGCATTGCTAAAAAACTTATTTAGGAACATATTTGATGAACATATATATTTTTTCCACAGACATAATTTAAATAAAACTAAATTCAAGTGTTCGAATTTGTTTTTGTTTTGCCGTGCAAAATTATTAAATGTATTACATTCAAAGGAACTAAATCTATTTCATTTGTGTTCATAAGTAGTTTTATATAATCAGGTTTTATTGAGTGAGTTTCAAGAAGTAAACTAGAATTTTATTTTTTCAGATAATATTTACAGAGGCATTTTTGTCGAAAAACTATTCCCAGAGAATTCGAATTTTTGTGCGAAACTGTTACAGTATGCTTGGTTGCTTGTTTCTCGGATTTTCCCTGTGTGTATTATTTATTGAGATTGTAAAGATGTTTGTGGGTCGTCTACGGCCTCATTTCTTCGCTGTGTGCCAGCCTTCTTATTCATCCACGAACTGTTCAAGAAAGTTCATTACAAACTACAGTTGTCAGGGAAAGGATCTTGAAAGTATATCAGATTCAAAGTAGGTGGTTTATCTATGTCCAAAAAAGCTTTACATAGAATGTTATTAGATTTATTTACATGTATCTATATAGGAAAGTACTAAATTTTCTACTTATGACCCTTTTATCAACTACGTGTACATTTGAATTATTAGAAGAAGCTAAAAAATTTAAAAAAATGTCTGCGTATTTAGATTTTATTGCAGACTATTGTGCGAACTATTTCAATTAAATGTAAAATGAATTTTTATACCAACAGAAAGTCTTTCCCGTCAGGTCACAGTGGCGCCGCCTGGAATGGAATGGTGTACTTAGCAGTGAGTGACTTTTCAAATAATCCATAAAGTATGAAATTAAAATTAGCATTGCAATCAATATTTCTGACGTCATTTTATCAATGTCTGCAGATTCTGAAGAGATCCATCAGTTTGTAGGACGTGCAGGTCTTTCTTAAAATTCTTTCAAAACATTGATGTGATTAGATGTACATGTTATGCGAGTCCTCTATTATGAAACACAACAACTTACTTACAGATATACATACAGATCCGTGTTCGTCGTCATTGGTCACGGCTTCGTGTCGCCTGTCCTCTATTGCAGTTTCTAGCAATAAGTGTTGCAGCTTATGTCAGTATCAGTCGTCTGCAAGACTACAAGCACCATACTGGTGACGTCATTGGAGGCGGCATCATCGGGATCCTTTTCACTATTATTGTGGTGAGTATATGTTGCGTTTTTGCTTGGTAATCCTATTTGACGTACATGGATTGTATATTTAGAAAAATACAAGAAGTTTTAACATGAAAATGAAAAGTGAAACCTGTTATGATGAGTTAAGAAAAACAGTAACTTGTTTGCATCGTTTAAGTCCCCATTTACGAGGAAGGCTTACACTAAAATTTAATTATACGTCTTTCTTGCAGATGTATCAGAATCCGAATGTCAGAAGGCATTTTCTTCCTCATTATGATCAAGCAGATTTGGGTGAAACTATGGACACTGTAGTTTGCATGGAGTTACACCAAGAGAATAAAAAATCCACAGAAAGCCCAGCGTTAAATGGTCAAGCAAATACTTAAAACCAAGGGCGTCGATATCCATTAACATTTATTTTCCTTTTTGTTACATTTTTATTTTCAAGTTCCTCCTTTTCTTTGGTGCTGTTTTTATAACCAAGCAAAGTTAAAAAAAAAAAGATCTACTTTTAATTTTGAGCTTTAAAATATCGACCTATTTTGTTGATTTGGGAATGCCCCTAAAAAGTACTTATTTTATAGTTATAAACATGTCATATTAAATGTTTTGCTTCACAAAATAATTCCAGACTCAGGGAAAAAAATATATACACGTGTAAATAGTTTATGTATTATCAATAAAACATTAATGTTAGTCATTAATGTTTTCAGGTCATTAAAAACTCTGATTTCAATCATTCTTAATTAAAGAAACACTGTATAAGCGAATTAGTTTATAGAATACCCAGTGTTAACAAATTGACTTTTGTAAAATTCAGACTTAAATTTCTTTGAATGCATCATATGAGTAAATGTACACATGTTTGGTGAACGATAAAAAAAATTGCTCATATTCTTAAACTTAATTTTTTTTACAAAATCATTAAGTGGCCATCTCTCAACCCTTTTGGATAAGGTATTTTTTTTCCTTAATTTTTCATATATTAACGGGATGAAAATCGCCGATATTGTGTCGTCTTTGTGACACCTTTTGCTCAACTATAAATCAAAGGAAAAGTTACAGACGTCTGTGTTTGATGTGAACCCAGCATTTTAGATAACTACTGATTATTTCTCAACTTCCTCAGATGAAAAAATGAAATGCACCAACAGTCTATGGACATGCAAACATATTTTATACAAGGAAATATGAATGTTCTTTATCCCTCAACACCTAACCTTTTTTGTGTTTTTTATGTAACGCATTTATTTTCCACTTGTAAACATATATAGTACGAAAACATAAAATCCAGATGATGAGTTGATGATTTATGTGTATGATTTTTGGTATCATTTATATTTACAACCTAGCATATTATGTTTAATTACTAGTACATGGTAGTTAATAATAATTAATTGTTTACATTTTTCTTGTAATTTTGTTACATTGTTTTAAAAAATTAGAGAAAAAAAATGTTTATTTGTGTTGTGTTTTGTGAAATAATTCTAACTATCCCGTTACAAAATTGTCAGTTGTAAATGATGAAATATGGCAAAAATACTGGAATGTAATGATGACTTGAACACAGGTTCTCTGACATGTTTCCATTTCCTATAATACATATCTTCTTTAATCTCCGGCATAATTATGTACATAATGCTGACTGCATGACGTTTTTCATACTAATTGTTAGAACATTTTTTATACACTGAATTGACGACGGATTTTTCCGTTATTTCCCGATCATGACCAGGAGCACAAGGCGGGTATGACCGGTCAGCAGTGGATGCATGCTCACTCCTCCAAGGCACCTGATCCCACCTCTGGTGTTTCGGAGGTTCATGTTTGCTCTGCTCCTGTTTGTATTGTTTTAAGGACTTTGATGTTGAATACTGTTCGTTATCTCCATATCCTTCCGTACTCTGCACTTCAGCAAGAGATAGTGCTTCATCTTGTTGACATTATTACTTGGGCCATCTTTACTTCCAATGTTAGCACCAAGGACTTCGGTCACTTCACTTTGATTATTCACAGCTAAAGTATGAAGGTGTCACTATTTTGCTTGATGACGAGTCCTCCAGTCTGGATTTACTTTTGCCTCAGGGGTATCGCCTGAAGACATCAGCATTCTGATACATCTATATCATTATGTAAAATGCCTTGGCGGTGTTCGACAGTCCTGCTAAAATCTCGATCAAACGCGCTAGCTGGTCTAATAAGTGTTTTAAATTGAATAGCCACCTTTAGAAACCATGATCAATGCAAACCAAAAATTTCCTCCAATAAAGAGTGTCTAAAGACTTAAATGAAAGAGCTAACCCTTTCTTGGTGACACTTTTGTTCGCATGTGTAAAGGTTTTGCAATCCCTTCGAAATATTTCACCAACCGCCAGTAGTAACTGAAAATCTAAATGATCTTTAACAGTTGTCGGTTCTACCCAAAATATGCGTAAGCTTCTATGATTTTGGACCTGTTGTAACCCCAGTCGGATAGGCTATTCAGGTCGTTCTACAATAAAGTACATTTCTTTGCCCAATGCCTTGTTGATTTATCAATGACATTTGACTTGAGCGTATTTTTAAAAAATCTTTTTGCCTATATTTTCCCTTAATGAACATGAGTTCTTCTAAGAAGCTTTTAATTGGTACTCTTGGCCCTTTATGCATTCCCTCTACTATGCCATCAACATTAAATTTCCAATAACAGTTCTGTCATCTGTTGTTTGCTTTGTTTAACGCCCTTTCAAATGATTTTAATCATACTGAGACGCCATGAATGTCTGGGAAGGGCTGCAATTCAGACCTGTATCAGAACAGCCCTTCAGATGTGAGGGGTATTTTTCGTGTCAGCGCAATCCTGGTTTATATGGTCTCATCTGAAAGACCGTTTTCCACGTACCGCAATGAGGTTCGAACCCACAGTGTAAGGATCAACTCCTACGTCCGCAAAACTTCCTCTGGATTAGAATTCAACAGTGGACAAGGAAATAACAAAGAGTTTGTTCCGGGCAACCATTTCGCCGATATTTCCTCTTTCAGAATCCAAAAAGTCTTAATCTCCTTCTATTGTCCTAAATCATCTTTTTAAAGGAGGCGTCTCCTTTTCTCCTGAAAAATTCTCGAGAGGAACGTTAAACAATATACAATCAATCAATCTTCTCTTTGTCATGTATGCATACAAACATTGTAACTCGGGACAATTTCAGATCTTGTTGGTAAAATAACGAATATCTGAAAGAGCAACCACGTAATATCCGGTATATTCCGCTTTAATTTTCAAAGGAAAGGGGTTTTCATTAACTTCCAAAATAATAAACAAGATGACTAACTTTTCAATCGTCAACTTTCCTTATTCCTGCAGCAATATACCTTCATCACCTACACAGGGTTTATAATTCATTATTCAAATAAAATTCATTATAATTATTATAATGAATTATAATTCATTATTCAAATCACTAGAACCCATATCTTGTAATAAACATCAAATGAATGAGACCATTACACCGGAAATTTTGTGTAAGCAATTATATTGTGGCAGCGTGGAGAAAGTATTCTGCTCATTTCTAATACCCTCTGTTGACAAAACATATTCTCAACAATATCTTCCAGGGTTGATAGCATTTTCACCATACACACGTTGCTGATTTAATGAGATCAATCCCAGAAAAGCAAAATTGAATGTCTTCAGAGGTCTCTTTTGTCAAACAGATTTTGGAACTTGTATAGAACTCGGTCATTGACTTGTTTTTCTCGATCTAGGGAAACTGGTCGTCAGTAGCAATCTGGTGCAACAAATTGTCAGACATTGCTGAAATAAGCCGGTTTCTGTCACAGAATATCTGTATCAGAGTTGACGTATGCTCTACTTGAACAACTGATGATGCAACGATTATGATGGGTCCTTTGGAGTTTTCCGGTATGACTTCTATTAAGTTTAGCATATTCTTACTTAACACATCTACTGCAGGCTTGTTCCCCATTTTTGATGCTGGAGTCATCTTATGGTGCTCTCGGGTGAGATTTATATGTACCCTAAATCCACTCGGGCAATTAAACCTAAAGCAACCCTCCCTAGGCAATGATCTCATATAAATGGTCTGTATTGAGGCATCAAGTACCTCCAAGGTGCTGACGACGTATTTTGGGCTTTCCTAGATTCAACGTTGTTACGTTGTAATGCAATGCATTATATCTTAAATAGCTCATTTGATACGTTGTCTGTTATATAGATATCTCGAACCATCCGTTGAATTGTAGCTAGCTTGCTTTGAACCACTATGCTGGTAAATAATCTGTTGGTAGAGGCACTATCCATATGTAAAAAGTCCACCGTGAATCCCCTCTGATACGATTCGTCAACACATTCACAGTATTGTTCGACCTGTGAACTGTTGCTTGATTGAAAATGAAAAATGCCAGAGGTGATCTGATTATGTTTCTTAAAAATAAACTTTGATCTGCTTGGTGCAAAATTTCCTGAAATTACACAAAGGATCTTGGAGATATCTTTTTGACGATTCATTCATCTCCCTGAAGTCTGTAAATCCATATAAAAGATGTTGGGTATGGGTTGCCGGCTGAACCGTCCTTGTGGGGATCACTGATATGTTGTTGTTTGTCTCTCCCATGTCCACCATACCAAGCAGCTTCCACGAATTTCATTGTTTTTCTATGGTTAAGTCATCCTGAATTAAAATTTCATCAAATACAAGTCCTCCATATTTTCAAAAACTTTCTGTCGAACACTTTTCATTGTCATCTATGTTTTCTTCTGAAAATCCTACTTTTTGTTTTAGAGAGAGAATATTGTAGCAAACGTTTTGATGGATGAACCAGAACTTGTGAATTCCTCAGCTGCTCGCAGGCACTTGGTAACTGAATTTAAAGACCAATACATACGCTGATTATTTCCGGGTCCCAGCACCTCTGTCGCAGATGTTTTGCTTCCAAATGTTTGAATAGTGCCCGCTTATTCAATAGTTCTGTGAGGAAAGTTTGCATATCTCTCTCATATCATCTTCTTTCTCCATGTTTCAATTCCTCAGCTTGAGTCTCTTTTCATTGTTGTTTTATACACTTTTTATTGATGCAGTTGTTATGAGGACATTCTATTTGTAAATCTTGAATATGTGTTGCCAAATGAATAAGTACAGTACGCAGGATGGTATATTCACATTTATTCACATTTGTGTCGCACGTTGATGGTGAAGGATACTGAGTATTTTTCAATGTTTTTGAAACATATGTTACGCATACTTTGTTGAAACGCATGGGTTTTTTTTTCAGTTTGAAAAAGCTTCGATTTAAGTCCTGACAATATATCACGAGCAGGAACAGGAAGCTATTGTTCAATGAAAAACTTTTTAGTCTCTTCATAGATATCCTTTAGCATTATCTGTCCAGAAAAACACTATCGACAGTTCAGAGAAAGCCTAGAATTGTTGAAAAAGTACAAATAATCAACATTTTTTGCATTCAAGCAACAGGAATGGCCGGTACGCAGTACGGGAACAACCACATTTCACCACTGGTTTGAGATAATGGATTGTAGACAGTTAGAAGAAAATTTACACGAACTGAAGATGAATGATTGCAAATTTGCAGGGACAAGAGATAAAGAGGAAGAAAATATGATATCAAAATGTTTACACGGGACAAACAACTACTCAGAGGATGTTATGCTTCAAAGACTCTGATTTTGAAAGGAGTACATTTAATGGTGAAAAGGAACACAGTGTACATGTATAAGCAATGGTGTTTTAATGGAACAAGAGGGATGTTCATAAACTACAGTATACAGTAAAATAGAGATCCTTTGATTAACATCAATGGCAACATATTTGTGCAAAGATTAGACATTAATAACCCACAACAACAGAAACTCTAAGGTTTGTGAGGAGATCTCGGTA